TAAATATAACGACATATCTTGCAAAACACTGCTGAAGATGAATCTGATTTAGATTCGAAATATACAGTTTTAATAAATTGTGTGTTAATATTATGCACTCCTTATTCGGAATAACTTTTGTTTTATTTTAGTCTATGATTGCATTGATAGAGTTCATTTGTGTTATTAAAGCCGCGACGTCCGATTTAATATCCTTCAAAACCTTACTATCGATTCTGCTTTCACAGCAATAACCATTATACACAGATGAATTGGTATGAGTGCTAGTATTGTTGGTAGTTTCGTCTAAATCTCCCGGCAAAAGATTAGATTCAAGGGGTATTTTGGTTGTTGTATTTAATACTCCGTCCGTGATAGCGTCTGTTTGATTTGCAGAGTTTGTTTGTAAAATACGCACCAGAAATTTCTTGAATGATTCGCCTTCTTTACCGTGGAATATCAAAGAGTTTAGCTTTCCCGGATACCAAGTCATAACAAAATCGAGATTCGAGTCATTAAATCGTTTTGCTCTACCGCCGGGCGACTCCCATTCACCGCTTAGTCCAGCAACGTTTTTAACAAAATTCTGTAATGATGAAAATTCTTGAGCCCATTTAATGCGGGTTCCATCATAAGTTAGGTAAGCTTGATTATTTAACAATCTAATGGGCATTAGATCGACATTCTCCAGGATAAAATTCGTATGATTAAGTGAGCTCGAAATTTCACAGCTGACCGCCATATTGCCCAACGATATTTTGAAAGGTCCAGACACACCGGACGCGATTCGGCAACGCGACGTGATTTTTTAGTTTTTGAAAGTTAATAAAACAGCCAATGAGAGCAAATTTTAAAAGATATGTAAACCAAATAACTCAAAATGTTATACCGCTTCTAAATATTTGGAAAATTTAAACTAGAATCAAAATTATCGGTCAGTGAAAATGGAAAAATCGCGTCGCGTTGTCGAATCGCGTCCGGGGTGTCTGAACCTTAAACGGGCCTTAAGGCAGAAACTACAAGAAATCCGAGAACAGAGCAACTACCATAGAGTGTATCGCGGTTGTTTTCGCCGATTGCTGAATATATTTGGCGCATGGAGTCTTTTCGGTTTTTTTTTGTTGTTTTTTAATTTACCGCGAGGCCATTTAAACGCGCGCGCGACTCTTGCAAGTCACGAAAATAACACGCGAGCCTAACACGCGGGACCGCATCAATTTTTCTAGAGCCCAGACAAAGTGTATTGAACCACCTTAATCGACTGTCTAAGCTATTTCACACAAATGGTGAGCATTAATGAAATTTTTTAAATGCAGCATCAAAATGAATAAATGCCATGCACTTAAAAGCATGCAATTTGACATGATACTGCCAAAAGAATTAACTGACATTTTTGTTTTATTTTAACTTATAAAAACTTTAAAAAAAGGTTACCTGAGGGTGACTCTGCCTCTTGAATTATGACATCATTCAATGAACCTTCCTCATCATTTAGATCTAAATATTTTATTTTAATAAAAAACCTCCAAGTAAATAAATTGTATCAAGTATTGTGTAACTTTATCAATTGTCTTCGTTTTCTTTCTAAGAAAACGTGAAATGAACAAATAAAACAACTTCTTAATTGAAAACAAAACAATTAATTGAAGACAAAACAGATCAATAACTGCATACTATAGTGCTGTCTTTTTTTCTACCGAGGTGATTAAAATACGTTCATAAAAATACGACAAAGCAGCTAATGCATGCACCAGGGACAATAATTATTAACACTATTGAGCAACAATGAATTTATAATTGCCAAAAGAGGCAACTACAAACTCTACAACATCACCCAGCAGGTTACCTATAGTTTCATCAGAAATTCATTCCAAAATATTTACTCTTCTGTGTATTCGGCTAAGATAGAAAATAATACAAATTTAATGTTCACCTTCAGAATCACAATCTCCATTATAACCACTTGAACAAGAATTTGAATCATCATCTGAATCGGAACTAACCGGATCTAAAAAAAATAATATTAGAAAATGAGAAATAGTTATTTTTGAAAATGTTGTGTCAGGGCCGAATTAAGTACGTGATGAGATGTATCTCTGGCCATGATTAATCCAGTAGTATCGCTGGATTAACTTATTTACGCATGTTCTTAGAAATTATACTGCTTTTATGCAAATCCCGAATAATTTCACAAACTCAAAGTTCTACCTTTCGACGCGGAAAATAGATGCAGGTTTATTTAAAACGGAGAAGAAAGTAGTGCTTTCAAATATAAATAATGTCGTTATTCTTATTTATTCGATTTTAACAGTGACTTCGAAACGTTACTTCAAAATGTCGTTCATTCTCGTACCCAGAGCCCTTCTTACGCGCGGTCAACCGAGCGCGACGTGGGGCTCTAACGAAGCAGTTAGGAAGATTGTTGTTGATAATCGCCCACATAAGCGGTAGATTTCGCTAATTTTATTTATTTAAAACAGTTAGTTGATTGAAATTAATATAGGTTGAGACGTGATGTTCTCACAGCAAAAAGTCAACATATCTATGGCAGATGCACGTCGTATCCTCAAATCAGTGATGTTAATTAATTAAACAAATCTGTGTTACATGTTCAAAGCTGAAGTGCCATCTGAAGAGAAAATAAGCCAGCCAGAATATGAAGTTTGTGATGACTATTTTCTTCTTACAAACCGATTCTTTACAATTTTCAAAGGATTTGCAGTATAGTATGTCTTATGTATGACTGTTGACTTTGCTATATGTCATTTGGACTAGCAAGTGACAGGTCGTGTTGACCACTGAATACTTTATCAGGTCATCGAGACCTGTAGTTACTGGGGTATTAGTATTTACACTAGAGGTCGGTTTGACCGGTATATGTTTGAATAAGGTCTGCATGGTTGTATGGACCATGTCATGTACTGAGATGTTTTTATTATTTAAGCTGTTTGGGCTACAGGGGTCGCGTGAACCATAGTACCCACAAGGTCGTTTGGACCATTGAAAAATCTACTGAGGTCGTTTGGACCTGTAGACTATAGTGCATTGATTTTAGTGCCAACTATAAACTTTGCTATATGTCGTTTGGGCTAGCAAGTGACAGGTTGTGTTGACCACTGAATACTTTATTAGGTCATCGAGACCTGTAGTTACTGGGGTATTAGTATTTACACTATAGAGGTCGGTTTGACCGGCATATGTTTGAATGAGGTCTGCATGGTTGTATGGACCATGTCATGTACTGAGATGTTTTTATTTAAGCTGTTTGGGCTACAGGGGTATTATATTAGAATTATATATATATATATATATATATATATATATATATATATATTTAACAAATATAAAACATTTTCCGTGTTGATATACAGTTATATCAACACGAGTGGAATTGGGAAAACGAGAAATTGTGTGGAAACACGACGCCCGAAGGGCGGAGTGTTTTCATACAATTTCGAGTTTTCCCAACTTCCACGAGTGTTGATATAACTATATATCAATACGGAAAAATGTTTTATATTTTTTTTATAATATAGCAATGTCAAAAGCCCGAAGAATAAGAAAAATTTCCGTGTTTACAAGCGGCGGAAAATTTCCCGTGTTGACATGGAGTTATATCAACACGGCTCTTAGCCAATCAGCGTTCAGAATTTACAAATGCTATATTATAAATATATATATATATATATATATATATATATATATATATATATATATATATATATATATATATATATATATATATATATATATATATATATATATATATATATATATATATAGGTGGTGAGTAATTTCGAAATTGTAAGTTGCTTTTATGCTATTGAAAGAATGTTCGGAATGCGTGTAGGCGAAACAATGCTTAGGCGAAACAATGCATGCTTGGGTCATTAGGTTTTGTTAACGACCTTGTTTACTCGAAACCGGTTTTTATGACGACTTCTTTTATTGAGTAAATTGTCTTTGTTTATGTCTTTCAAAATGCAAAATTTTTCTTCCAAACATAAATTGCAGCGCTTTGATCCCCCTGCATGTGTACGAAATAGCGTGTTTTAAAATTGACCATTTGGTGGTATAATCCTGATTGTTTTCTTTTAATTTCCAAATATGTTTCGAAAGTACCGTTTTGTTTGAGTCTTTTTTTATGACGAAAAGACGAAGTGTAATTAGCGTAACGTTCCTTAAATGTAGTCGCTGTCATACCAATGTAGTGTTTAGTGTCGTTCGTGTTGTTCGTTGTGACTGTGGCTTTGTAAATATATATATATATATATATATATATATATATATATATATATATATATATATATATATATATATATATATATATATATATATATATATATATATATATATATATATAGATAGATAGATAGTTTTTTGTTTTACCTCAAAAAACCACAACAGTCTGTTTCATCCGTATTGGAATCATCAGCCGTGGTGAATAATTTCGAAATTGTAGGTTGCTTTTATGCTATCGAAAGAATTTTATCTAAAATAACCTTACTTAGTTTTCCGGATTCGCTTTTTGCGGGATTTATTAGTCGGCATTTTGGATTGTTTTCGAAATTTTCTTTGTGATCTTTTAAAGATATAAATGCTTCGCGTTTTTTCATTCGTTCAATTCTGTCTCCAATTCCTAACCTACTCGAAATTTCTTTCAATTCGGAGTCAATTTCATGTATGAAGTCCTCTGATCCATGTTTGTACGTTTTCGTGATGTTGTCATGTAAGAGTTCGTTGTATGTGTTCAGTGACGTTTCGTAAATGTTTCTAGTTTTGTCCGCGAAAATGAAAATGTTGGGGGATGAATTAATTTTCTTCAAATCGTTAGCCAAAGATGTCTGAAATTGGTCTTTAGGACGCCGGAATTTTACGTTTTCAATTAGTTTTATCAAGTCGTCTTCGAAAGGTTTCAAAAGTGGAATTGAAGGAGGCGATTTGTTAGACGAAAGGCCGAAAGGGTTGCTTTGGTTTTGATTCGTTGATCCTTTTAGGAAGAAATTAGCTTTCCATCTCATACGTTTTGTTACGCTTTCCACTTTTTCAATCAAATTCTTTAAGTAAGCATCCTGTGATGGTATAGGAATATTCTTTAGTGAATAATCGAATCGAAATTGTCGCATGTTTGAAGTAGAAATAGAATGAATAACGTAGACAAGAGTGCACAATCGATTACCGGGTGCAAATATAGCTTAAGATTTTGGTTTACGAAACACAAACGGTGCTCAATACCATATAGATAGAGCGTAATATAGTTTTTCGTTTTACCTCAAAAAACCACAACAGTCTGTTTCATCCGTATAGGAATCATCAGGTGGTGAATAATTTCGAAATTGTAGGTTGCTTTTATGCTATCGAAAGAATGTGCAGAATGCGTGTAGGCGAAACAATGCTTAGGTGAAACAATGCATGCTTGGGTCATTAGGTTTTGTTAACGACCTTGTTTACTCGAAACCGGTTTTTGTGACGACATTTGCGAAAATTTCGCTTCTTTTATTGAGTAAATTGTCATTGTTTATGTCTTTCAAAATGCAAAATTTTTCTTCCAAACATAAATTGCAGCGTTTTGATCCCCCTGTGTATGAAATAGCGTGTTTTAAAATTGACCATTTGATGGTATAATCCTGATTGTTTTCTTTTAATTTCCAAATATGTTTCGAAAGTTCCGTTTTGTTTGAGTCTTTTTTATGACGAACTCTTACATGACAACATCACGAAAACGTACAAACATGGATCAGAGGACTTCATACATGAAATTGACTCCGAATTGAAAGAAATTTCGAGTAGGTTAGGAATTGGCGACAGAATTGAACGAATGAAAAAACGCGAAGCATTTATATCTTTAAAAGATCACAAAGAAAATTTCGAAAACAATCCGGAAAACTAAGTAAGGTTATTTTAGATAAAATCAATTCCAATTTGAGACAAAAACTAAATTCAAATCAATGGAGAAATATTTACGCAACAAGTAATTTCATGGTTTGGCAATATAAACGATAAAGACAGGCACAGTTTTATTTCATTTGATATTGTGGATTTTTACCCATCCATTTCCGAAAAACTTTTAAATGAAGCATTGGCCTGGGCTTCGGATTTGACTACTATTACCGAAAACGATATTTCAATAATAAAACATGCAAGAAAATCTCTACTTTTCGGCAACGGCAAAAAGACGGAAGCAACAGTTCATTTGACGTCAATATGGGTAGTTTCGACGGCGCTGAAATTTGTGAGCTGGTAGGCCTTTTCATTTTAAATCACCTAGGTAAGAGGTTTGGCAAGGAAAACATCGGCCTTTATAGAGATGACGGTTTGGCTATTATAAAAAGCAAATCCGCCCGTTTACTAGACAAAACTAGAAAAGAGCTACACAAAATTTTCGAGCAATTTGACCTGAAAATCACCGCCGAAGTAAATATGAACGTTGTAAATTTTTTAGATGTTACTTTCGACCTGATCAACGCAAAACACAACCATTGTACATCAACAGACACTCAAATCATCCACCAAGCATTACAAGACAATTACCTACAGCTATCAACAAACGCATTGCACTTCTCTCATCGGACGAACAAACATTTAAGGAATCTACACCTATTTACCAGAACGCCCTTAGGCATAGTAACTTTGATCATGAATTTACGTACACTCAGGATGCACCGCAACGGACACGTAGGAATAGGCAACGCAACATAATTTGGTTCAACCCACCATTTAGTAAGAGTGTTAACACGAACATAGGACGGGAATTCTTAAGTTTAATTGACAAACACTTCCCACTACAGCACAAACTACACAAGATTTTTAACAGAAACACCTTAAAAGTAAGCTACAGTTGCATGAACAACGTTAAGTCTATAATCACCAAACACAACGCACATATAATTAGGAACAGTCAATCACAGAACACGGAAACTGAAAACTGTAACTGCGACAACAAAAACACTTGCTTTTGTGGGGTTTTCCTGGAGAAAAACTTTCAAAACGAAACAAACAAGAAAACCGAAGTGTTTATCCGCGTTTGACGTTGAGCATGCGCAGTGTTTAACCGGATACCATGTTTTTATGGTATCCGGTTATGGATTTGGCCAGAGCCCCTCGTTGCACTCGGTTGACCGCGCGTAAGAAGGGCTCTGGATACGAGAATGAATGTCGTTGAGAAGTTAAGTACGTACGCGCAAGTTTAATCTAAAACACTGACCAGAAGTTGCCAACGATCTTTCTTGTTGAACAGCATCAAGAAGTTTTCCGATTGTTAATGTTTCCATGTCACCATCACACGGTAGCTCCCTGAAACAGTGTTACAGTGATTGAATAAGAAACCAAATATGTTACAGTGATTGAATAAGAAACCAAATATGGAACAGTTTGAGTTCTATGTACCTTGGAGACACGGCGAGCATCTCAGCTAATTCATTATGGCCATGTTCCTTTGCAGTTATTGCGAAGTCTTTGTAATATTCACTACGATTCGCCAACACTTCCGCCAAGATGCCAAGCTTTTTCAACGCACTAAAAAAGTCTTCATCGCCCCCTTTTGCCATTTCGTCACAGAAATACATTACCATTGGCATATCAACGGGACCACTCTTGAACTTTTTACTGGGTCCTGTGTACTGCATGGAATTACCTATAAAAATTCAACAATTACAAGGGTTTTTAGTTTTGCTCATATTTTAGACAAAAGGGACCTTCACTGAAAGTAAGGGGAAATAGTTCCTGGGGGAGTGCAATAAAAGGTTGGGAGCTTTGCCTTCGCCAAGGCCCTGCTTCATTCAAAAACAAAATAATCTAGCTCGTTGAAAAGAGTAAGTGGTATTGAATAAAGCACTTTAATATGGCGGTGTATTTACGCAATGGCGAATTTCAATAAAAGTCACAAATGTAGTCAACCTTTTAAAAAGACCAACAAAATATGTCCATAAAATAATAAGATACAACACTAGAACCGAACTCGAAACCTTCACAAACTATCAAAACTTCATTACTCGTGCACCAGGGGAGCTCGAGTCTAGGTTTCGTCCTGTTGAAAATTTGTAGGTCGCGTTTTGGACTTCGTTGACCCAGTAATGCATTGCGCACTTGTAATCGTGAATTAGCAATATGGCCACTGCTAGGAATGGCGAAATGAAATTATCAATATTATAAATGCGGTGCGACAATACAAGCCATCGCTTTACAATGCGCACAATGCAAAATATATATACACAGAAGACATTACTACACTGCAAAATTGTTTGGTGCAGTGTAATGTTAAATTCTAATGCTCGTGAAAGCAAAATATAGTTAGCATCGATGTTTTGGACAAACAAATGTTTATAAATTATACTAAATGTGTCAAGTGATAACATCGAACAATACGAATCAATACTGCTACAACCAGTTTTTTGAAAGCTTTCGTCGAAACTTAAAACACTGCAGTCTGTAAATCATACAACCCAAAATTGAAAGTATTTTCTATAGTCATAGTATTTACTTAAACTGTTCTGTTCGGTTACGAAAATCTGGCTTTGTAGACTTCATTTGAACGATTTTTAGGACATATCACTGATACAGTATATATTGTAGTAATAATAATAACTTACTGACCGAGAGCATTACGGGAAAATATCCAACCGAGGTCTTGCTGTATTGACCGAGCGATAGCGAGGTCACTACAGCAAGACTGAGGTTGGATATTATCCCGTACTGCCCGAACAGTTGAGGTCAGTAAGTTTTTTATTATATGGCATTGTATGTTTGCAAAAATGGAAAAAAGGTCACGCGAGGTCAAGTACAAAGTCAAAGACAAAGTCCGAAACATTTGCCAAAAAAGTAATTGTAAAAAATGTTCTCTTGGTTAGTAAAACTACTCTACAGCACTTTTTATATAGAATACTGACAGTTTGGATAGTATTTCAAGAAAAATACGAAGTTTTTCGTCATTTTAGTAATCAAAGACAACAAATATGAAAACAATATTCAATAAGTCAGATTAATAAAGTTTGGATCAAGTACGTTTTTAGTTCGCTTCATCTCATATTTATGTCTCTTTTTATCTAACAAAAACAAAAATTTTCAGGGAAAAATTATAAATCTGTGGCGGTTGCTTTAAGGCCATGTTACACGGTGCAATTTTTCTTGCAACTTGCAATGCAATTCTACTCTTGAGAGATGTTAATTAGTGAAATCAGTGAAGAATTTTCAATATGTTGAGAAAACATCAGCAAAGTGTAATGAAGACTCGTATTTGGCAATTTTACATCTCTCAAGAGCAGAATTGCATTGCAAGTTGGAAGAAAAATTGCACCGTGTAACATGGCCTTTAGTTGTATACTTGTATTTTATATTTAAGATGGTATCAAATTCCTCCTGGTTATCTGCAAATAAAATTTGCAGTTCTTCACATACTCAAAACACAACTATTCCTGACTGCTTTAATAGTTATAAACATTGTAAAATTTACCTTGGAATTATGACTTTCGCTAACAAAAACGTATTGAGAAAGTTCTTTAACTACAGCTGTTACTTCTTTTATTTATTTTAGGTTTATTTTTCTCCGTTTTGAATAGTTTGGAAGACTTTTAGACACTTTTTGCCATTTGAAACTCGGCTCTCGTCGCAGTGTCGCAGGGCAATTAAAATTGCGTATTGCCCGTGGGCAATACGGGAAAATCCTGCCTCGTCAGCAGCCAATCAAATTGCGCGATTCGTCAAAACAAATGCTTGCCATATAATAAGATTTATTCCATACTAGAGATATACATCAAGTCTACGTTGCATACATAAACCCATGCATATATGATTTATAAATATGATGCGCTATACGGCATTTGTCACAATGTAAATGTATTATTTTTCGAGTATTCACCATTACTTGCGAGATAAATTTTTGCCGTACTTTTAAGTTTAACTTTTATAATTAAATGTCTAACATTCATTTTGCTCAATATTCGATTTTGAGTAGTACTGCTATACTACAAGTCTCCCTCGCAGCCGTTCTTTGTGTCGAGGTTTCTCCCCGGAGTGTGGAGAAACCTCGACACAAAGAGCGGCTGCAAGGGAGACTACTATATAGTCTCTCTCGACTACTATATATTTTCCATTTAAAATTTGTTGTTTTGAGGATATATTTTTGCTTTAGTAAGTTCAATTTTTCTTTGCGTGTATATTCTGAATGCGCAATGAGCTAATTTGTGGGCCACAGATAGGAATTTTAATTAAATTATCTATTGTTTGAAACAAAAAAATGTAAACAAAACACGCGCATGAGCAGAACGGACTTGACAAACTCTTTAAATTAATTTATAAAAGGTCACAAAACAAAAGACCATAAAAAGTCATTCTTATGAAATACAATAAATTTTCACAGTTGCTATATGTTCCTAAAGGAAAAAAATAACTGACCAGATATGATTTTTGGCCGAAATAGTGGCTAGTTAATTATGCAAATCTATATTGCACATTGAATTGAAAAAATTACTAAATATTTACAATTCCACAGGCACTGAAGAATTTGTGTAAACTTTCCATGCTGCAGCAGGGCTTGGAGAACGCAGCAGTAAATGAGCTGTGGGGGACTGATCGCACAGTAATTGCGTTGAAGGGGACTGAAATTGACGTCTGGACCACTCTGTGATGGCTTAAAAGGGAATTGGTATTGACGCACATGCAGATGCCGTGGAGCGCTGATGCCAGTGCGAAGGCGAGGTTTCACCTTTTTACTGCTAAATAACTAAGCGTGATCGTTTCAGTTAAAGAAATATCGAGTTCACTGGCCGTAGGTGACCAGACATGCTCCCCACGCAATCCAAATATAATGTATATCACATCATTCCTCCCTCCTTAATGCTTCCTCTCCAGTTATAATACTAAGTTAATAACAGGTATGAAATTAAAAAGGGCCTGAATTTCAAAAAGGTTAGTCGTCAATGTGAGAAGCCGTGAATATAGCTGTGTAAAATGTGCATCTGCGGGAACATCTTTGCCTAGATGATATTTCACCGTGAAGCTAAATTCTTTCTCCCTCCTTCATCTCAATTTCTGGAGCCAATGTTCTGGTTCCATGGTCAACCCTAGGGCAAATGCCCAATAACGAGACCCTCACGAGAGAATCATGGATATACAATTTCTTGACAAATGTTTTATAGTTACTTTACTACACTTTTACGCATTAAGTTATCGCAACTTCTCTTAATCAAGAGCGGCACCCAGAAGCTTGAATTAAACACTCTGGTAAAAATAACTGCACAAAGTGTAAGTCAAGAGTGCAAACGAAGATATCGAGGCGATAGAAATAAAATTCACAGGAGCTCTCGATGTATGTACCTCTTTTCCACAGTTGTTACCCAAGAGTTTTGTGGTGGGCAACTTATAAAATGGAATTACCGCAGAAGTGGTATTTCTTCAACAAAAATGTTGTGGCAATGAATGGTAGGCACATCTGTAGGCACAGATATTTCATCATTCTGTTCCGTAGCCAGAGTAGCCATTGGAACAGCTGCAGTGAAAAACTAGACGTAGCATAGGTTTCAACTTTCTTCCCCTGCACTAAGTCTAATGCATTGGCTAGGTCAAAGAGTTTTTCGATCTAATCGACTGTTTTCAAGAAATTACTGGCGATTTAACAGGGATAGACGGCCTTTAACGAATGAATCACAGATCAACTCTTCATGATACTGCTCAACAGGAACAAACTGAACATTACAATCTTAGTTGAGTATGCGAGAGGGATAAGAGCCAGCAATCTTATCTGTACAAATGTTATTCTAACAAAGTTATTGTAGAAAACACCATGTGAGCTCTTGGTAACCCAGCTTGCCTAACGTTGTCGATTCTTTATAAAATACTCGAGTGCTCAGGGTTCAAAATAACGGCCGGTCAACGAACAATGACCGGCCAAAAATGCCTCTTGACCGGTCACTTTTTTACCCCACTGGTCATTTTGACCGGCCACATTTTCATGCCTTCAATGTGATTGCTGACGTCTTGAATTAAAACATGAAACTATGATGTATCGAAACAAGTTTCTAATAATTTGTTTCACTGTTAGTGTAAGCGTATCAATGACCGGTCAAAATCGAGCTAAAATCACGTTATTTTGCGCCCTGGTGCTGTGTGCAATAACCTGTACGGCTTCATTAGGGACTGATCGTGTATGACACTATTCTGTCAGTTAAATTCTCTTCGGTAGCGTAGAAACTAAGTATTATATACAGAAATATATCCTATATTTGTACTTTCCACTGCTTGTGTTTTGGTTAAACCACGATATGGAGCAAATGAAAACTTGATGAATTGATTCTCTGTCACGTCTGGTGTGCTTCAAGCCACCTTACTTAACTGATCCTATACTTTTTTTCCATCCTTATCAACAATTTTCCCAATGTTAGAAGTCACAGACAGTATCTACCTGTATGCTGTTGATTCAAACTGTACCAAAGTAAGTTGCGAAACCCTCCAACTGTCTATAAGGTATCTATCTTGACAACAAAACATGGGTTTTGTCGCATCAAAATTTTATGTACTGACAGTGACCAGAAAATGCAATCCATCAGCTTTGATTACCACCTTCGTTATACAATACCGGCCCCTGTCGAAAAAAAGATCTCGGCGTCATAATAAAAAATCGTCTTACTTAAGACCATCAAG